CACCCAAACAGACTCACATTGCTATGAGATCAAAAGACATACACTGACAATTTAAACACTTCTTAGATGGTTTTCATCACTAAACAACAGTGATATGGCAATACGGGGTAACTTCCATCTTAACACGTTTTAGACAAAATAAATCACTTTCTGTGAGTCTCTCAGTCACCTATAAGGGCATCCAATACAGGTATCTTATCTTGGACAATGAACTTCTAGACACCTAGCAAAAGTAAGCAGTTTCCAGCACCCATTAGGTAATAATTTAATTGATGTGCTATTGTTGAATTTTGCATGTATAACTGCATCACTGACAAACAGTGAAAAGAGGATAATTCAGTACTGACACACAGCCCCTAACTCAGGAATGATTATTTAAAAATGACCCTTGCTACAGGCCCTGTTTCGAAACCTAATTCAAAACCTTGTGAAGGCAGAACAAATCATACCACTACCTTTACTTATCTGAATTAAGCTTTTACAACGATGCCACAAGAAGAAAATTTTAATTATTACAACACTTCAACTTATCCCACGAAACTCTGTAGAATCTAGAGCCCTGAAGAGACACCTGGATTCTCTAAACATTTTAAGGGCATAGATATGCAAGGACTTGTTTTCTACACCGTACAAGAAGTCAACAAAAACTTTTAAGTGGAACTGTCCTCTTTTTTCCCAAGGGATTAAAATACTACCAGTCTCTAAAAAAGGGAAAAAAATATTTTATTTAACTGCAAAAGTGCAGACCAAGAGGGCAAGAGAAAGAATGGTTTTTTCAATTACTATTACAATATTCCTCTTAATCAACACTGAGCCAGAATGGCATTAGAAACCACTGTCAGGATAAAATGAAAGTTGCAGAAAGACTTAAAGCAGAAAACTGTGCATTGAAGTTTTATACGTTTTACCTCCTTTCTCTCCAAAGCCCGTACTCTGTGGACTTACCACTGAACAGTAATAATACAAATTCCAAACTTTCCTTCAAGAGGAAAAATCCCATATTGTACATATTTTGCAGTACATGAATAGCGACAAATTTCTCATTTGGGATAGCTAGAAAAATCAGCGTAACTTGTTTGAAAGACCACCTATTGCACTTTAAAATACCACAGTTAATTGCCATTTAAAATAAAATGTAAATGCCGTTTACAGGAACAAGGAAAACTCAAATTTTGGGGTTAGTCATCCTCCAAAAATTTCAGACAGGAATAGTCTGTACCTCCCTGTTTAGGCAGAATAACAAGTCACATCGTTTTTCAATTAACTGTACAATGCATAATCTCTTTTGTTAAAGAGGTTGTGGATAGCAGTAGAGAGGAAAATGCTGTCTGTCTTTCAGATAAAAGAAAGATGAAGCTGGCTTGTTTCCCAGGACTGAATGGGGAATCCTGATTTGGAAACCTTCTCACATGCAGAGTGGGTAGAGAAGGGAGGCTGCTGCACCAGTGCTGGCTGGGAGACTCCTGAGGACACAAGTGTACAGCGCAGGCTCAGGTAACGCACAGAAAGTTCCCTCAAAGTCCAGAGTACTGTGTGGAAGGTGTTTGAACCAGAAAGCCACTGAAGGTTGCTGGGGCAGACTGCAAGGAAACAATTCATCCTGTAAAGATGATGTTTACAGGAGATGGTTTTACTTTCAAGCCTTTCTGACCCATCCAGCTGATCCAAGCTCCTTCTAATTAAAGAAAAGAAACATACTGAGTTAGCAATTTCTGATACCATGCCAACAAAATGTGGCTTTAGAAAATGGAAGTCTGTAGGTGCACTCACTGTAGGGAAGACAGTGGGACAGCTTTGGTGTGAGGAGCTGGCCTGACCGGCACTGCCAGAAGCAAGAGGTCTGCAGGTAATCCTCAAGTTATAAACTGCATTCCCAGCAGAAAGAGAACAATGTCATATCCTCAAGCTAAGGCACCAGTATAGTTCTCAGGAACATAGAATGGTGGGTTTGTTATTATACTTTCCCTTACTCACCTTTTTTTTTTTTTTTTAAGAGAAAGGGACAGATGAAGAAGAGGGAAAGAACATGGGAATGACATAACTGCACAAAGGTCACCAACATAGCTTTCAGAGGACTTGTGGGACAAAAGTGATTTTCTTCTGCCTGAGTGAACAGTCAAAAGCAAATAAAAGTGATTTTTGTCAGCTCAGTGACATCTACTGTGGGTGGGGGGAGAAGCTAATGGACCTATGGAGAAGTTTAGTAGAGACAGAACCTGCTTCAAGGAAGGAAAAGAAGCCTTCCAAAACGCTGAGCACATGAATAGAAGTGGAAAAATGTGGTACCAGAGGGACACAGGGATGCTGTGCAGCCTAGATCAGTGAAACTAAGGAAGAACAAAACAGGCAATACCAGTAGTGGATCTTTCCCTCAGCGGGGAGAGAGAAAAGGCTGAGAAACACCCTTGGGTGCTCTCTTGGGAAGCAACAAAGACTGTGTACTATTTTATGCAAACAAGGGTCCTGGAAGTCAAGAGAAAATTAATGTAGTCTAACCTGTGACCAGGAATGCACCTGGGCAGTGTGTTCAAGGAGAGAAAACTGGGTGTTGCGGTACTAAGCAGGACAGATTTATCATGTTTTTGAGTGCAGTTGAATTTTGGGAAGGAGGAGGATGAATATATCTGCTGTCTCGGCCAAGGGACACACGGCACAATGCAAAAGCAATGAAGAAAGAGAAAGGAGAACATCCTTTTAAAGACATGGAGCATGCCTGAAATGGAACCCAGGAAGAAAATCTCAAAATAAATAAAGAAAATGTTGCTATGGGGATGGCTCAGATTAATTACAAGAGAAGCCTCTCACCAACCTGTAGCAATATAACATCATAGCTGATAGATCTGTGTGAAAAACAAAACGGATTGGTCAATTCAATAAAGTCTAGTATGAAACTTCTAGCCACTGAGAAAAGGGTCTTTCTGTTTGTTTTGTAGCACAGTACAGGTGAGTCTGGATTTTAGCAAGCTTTCTAATATATTTTCCACGTTCCTCAACACTGATTTATGGGCTGCTTGGCAGCAGCAGAATTAAATATATCATTCTCTGGCACATTTCAGTAAAAAAATGTCAGCTGGGAATGGAATGACACCACCACTGAAAAGAAAGCTTTATAAAGGCATTAAAAACCCCCCAACCAACTCATTTCTAGCTAGGTAACTTTACTCTATATACAGTTGGAAAATTCTCCTTTAGGAAAGGTCATTTTACGGGGAAAATTCCAGCTTGTGAGGAAGAGTGTGTCACCACAAGAACTTGATGCACTAACAAAAATCAGAAAGAGAAAAGACAAATAGCATGTTGACTTTGCCTAGGCAGGAGGGTGCTTGAGGAACTACCCTGACAAAGCACAAGCTCCTTTTGAGGCTTCCTTTGCATAACAACAGCTAAGGCATCCTGCAATACATATACAATACACGGAAATGCAATATCACAAAAATGGATGGACTACAACATGAGTTGAAATCCTTGACCATTGCTGATGTTTAGCCTTTCTAAAAACCAGCTCTATGATAGGCCCTATTTGCTAAGAAATACTAGAGAACAAGAGCAGTAATGACCGCTATTACTGTTTCTTTGAAGTTCAATGATGAAAGCCAAAGAAATGAACATACAAAGATCACAGCTGAAATGGTTCAAGGATTATAATCATAACTCCCCTGTCATATTGGCATGTTTGGACTGTTTTTAAGCTGCAGCAAATTACTATTGCAATTATGAAGTACAATATCTCAGAATAACCCTACAAATAACATAAAGCAGAGCAGCACTCTACAGTTATTATTAGCTGGCTACATAAATAAACACATTAGGTTATTATATTCAACAGACTCTTCCCACATTTTTTACCTTTTATCTATTTTTATCTTTGCTTTTATGATGTGTTATTTAAGAATTTCATAAAATACTAAAATGCCGAGGTTGTGCAAATTTACTGTCCATAATTTTACCAGTATTTTGAATGGCACACCAGAGTAAAACAGCTCAATTCTAAATGTATAGTGTTACATTTCTAAATGAAATTTGCAGATCCGGGAACATTAGTACAATAAGACTCCTCCCAATATGAGAGGAGTGACTGCCTTGTTTTAACAACTTGCAGAGCAATGCTGTAAAGAAGCATTAACCCTAAGATAGCACTGGATGCAAATAATAAACATTATGACCATAGTATCGATTTATATAATTCTGTAATTAAAAGCAGAGAAGAAATATGCTGTAATGATAACAAATCAACAAGTTAGGAAAATTAACCGAAAATAAGCTCTTAATGTACAAAAGTAGAAATAATTTGGTTATGATTGTTGAAATAGTTAAAAATCAAGGAAGTGATTATTTTTCAAAGACAGAATATGAAAATAAAAGCTCAATGACCCACAGTGTTTGGATGAATTTCAGCTAAACAACCCCACCAAAAGCCTGAACAAAATAAAACCCCTAGATGTGTGCTTCCTGTACAATCAGAATTCAGGGGCAATATTGATTTAAATGAATTCTTGTCCTTTTCCTTAACAGTGTATTTGTTTGTGAATAGAAGCAAGAGTCTCCCAGTTCTCTTGCTGGAGCTACTAATCTGTCCAGTAAATTCCTGTAACCTTCTTAAAATTTTTATGACTTGTTACTTCATGACTCCAAAATTACTTGCAATAGATAATCTGAGGATCAGGAGGGGATACTCTGCTTGGATCCTTGATCTGGAAGATGGAAGCACTACTGCCAGCCTAAGAATGAAATGCTAAAGTAGAACAAAGCCATTGCTTTTCTTACAGAGATTACAGCCTGAGAGATCAAGAAACATTGCATAATGTTTAATTAATTTAACAATTCCTTGATATATGCTAGCAAGCTGTCCCATAAAATCTGAATATGACACACTAGAGAAAGAATTAAAGAAATTGTTCTAGAAATGTGAGAATAATTTTCATTGCGCTCATTCTGCTACAAACTGGAAAAAAAAAATCCCCAAACCCACAATATATATAGACTGTTTGGAAAGAACATACCTATTAACTCTTTATTTCTGACATCTAAGGCCATGTTTCGTAAAGCTGTAGCAACTGCACACACCACCCGGTCATTGTCTATCCGGAGCAGCTCCACCAGGATGGGCAATCCTTTCTCTTTGCGGACGGCAGCGCGGATGTACACTGACCACTGCGAACACACAGGGGAGAGAGAGAGGGAACAAAGTGAGGAATCCACCACAGGCAGTGAGGCATCTGAGCTCACAGCAGAGTAAGGGCTAACAGAAGCATCTGGATGCAAAATTCAAAGGAGTGGAAATAATTGCATTGATGATGCTAGGCAACCACTTGATTTGGTAATCAGCACTCTTTTTTTTTATGGGGACAGAGAAATTAAATGATGAATTGACTTCTCTCTCAGCACACCTGGTTACATTTTCATGGCCCAAGTCTGCAGAAAACTTACTCTTCACCAGCGTTTTGTATGCAACATCTAATGATGCTTGTTTACTGTTAAACTAACAATATTTATTTTACAAAATATGTATTTGTATTACAATGCAAGTTCAAGAGGTCTGAGTATTCTTTGTTGTTACCATAAGAATGATTCAGTCTACAAACATGAAAACACTATTATAATTTCTCTTGTGTTTGTTAACTTGTTCAGAAGGAAAAGTGAGGATAACTATATTGATCCTAACTGGAATACTATTGTACATTGAAGTGTTAGCCATTCCCTCAAGAGCTGACCTGAGGGCAGTGTGTGCCTGTGCTGTGCCTGGCTGCAGGAATCACGAGGCTGCAGGACAAACCCAGTGGCTGATTCTATCAGAGAAGCCTGTAGGCATCTCCCACTTGACAGCTGGTCATGGCACCACTGGCATGGCCTTGTCTTTGTATCAAAGCGAGCAGTATGTTCTCATGTAAACATCCTTTTCATTTGACAGCAGAAATGATGAATGGAGTTGTTTACTTCTAAAAACCCTTCAGGAGCTCTAAAGGTTATCATGCCAGTGAACAATGGATCTGTGCAGTGTGCTGTGAGTAGGAGATCCATCCAGGGAACTTGGGGCTCCCACCCCATAAAGGGGTGAAAGATCTAGATGGCTCTTCTCTTTTGACAAAGACATCCCACTGCAAAGAATAATTACATTGCAATAGCATTACTCCACAGCCAGGCAGAGTAAAAAAAAAAAAAAAAAATGGTTAGCACATTCACTGTCAGCAGACCATGCTTAACCCCTGCATATGGCCTCTACTTACCACAGCTGAAGAGCTCACTTTAAAAGCACCTATTTATAGAAGATATATGCCCTGAATAGCAAAACCCAGAATATGTATTTATGATAAAAACAGTAGATGTGGAGATAGACAAGAACTACAGTGCTGCAATGTCTGTAGTGCAAATTCATTCCAGGTGATATGATCAGGGGAAACTGGGAAAAAAGAAAACAAAATAGAATTTAAAGAGTATTTTTTAATTAATTATTCTCTCTAGTAACTATGCATAACAAAGCCAGTTGGCTGGACTTTGCTGAAGATGAAAGTGATAATGGTTATGATAAGCTATCTCATCAGTTATGTTGGACAAGGGGTTCTCAGCATCCCTGAGTATAATAATGTATCTAAAACATAAATGTCCTGACATTTTGCGCTGCAAAGGAAACAGCTTAGGGGAGAAAAATGACAGCAGGAGTCTTTGTTAATCTTATTCTGTGTTCTCTCCTCCAGTTTCTTCTCCAGAACCAGTGTATAGGATGATCATCAGATAAAAAACTAAAAAAACTAAAACAGATCTTAAGGATCAATGAGTTTAATAGGAAGTATTTTGAAAAATACTTCCTATTAAAGTGAAAAAGTTTCTTTCATATACATTAATTTTAATGGGATATTAAATATAAAGGATGTTATGGAAATAACGAACTGGTATTTCTAACCTTCCTGGCTTAATAAATATGTATTTACCTGCCAGGTAGATTCATTCTCACCTGCAGCTGGGAAATGAGCAACACCTCCTTGCACTTAAAAAATGCTGTATTTTGTACATCTCTCACAGGGGAAGCATCTGTTTTGTCTGCTGTGATTACAAGGTGACTGCCAGCGTGAGTGTTCAAGATAGCAGTGGGAATATTTTGAGAAAGAAGTGAGCCTGTCTGGTTGAGGTGAGAGTTCAGACTAGCTGAGAGTATTCTGAAAGATGCTGTTGTTTATTGCAGAAGTACACCACAGATGTAACATCTCCAGGATGGGCTACATGGGGAACCAGTGGGGGTGTTTGTTTTGAGGGAAAAAAAAACTTATCTATGTCTATTCAATACAAGGAGAATAAAAAATAATCCTTTAGATTATTCACTATATTTTAAAAACCTCCATATTAAAACCTCAGTAAACAGTTTTCTTTGATTTTTTCTTTTAGCCACCTACCAAGAGAAAACATAAGCACTTGTTTCATAAAGCCAGGTTTACAACAGACTTCTTGGGATGTAGTATTTTCATTACTCATTCCAACCCAAAAGTTTAAGAGGAACAAATTAGGGAATGTTTTGCTTTTAAGCCTAGGGAGAGTAGGAGACATTGTAGGAGAAACACTGAAATAACTCAGTATGAAAAAAAAGAGAAAATATAAACCTCCTTACTAAATAAATGACATGCAAGCCTTCAGGATCTGTAATGAACCAGTTAATTTGATTACAACAGTAAAAAATAGAGCTCCAAAGCTTTCACATGGGAAAGATCCAGATATTGTTTTACACATGCACATATGCACACATACATATATAAATCAATGGGAGGAGGACTACAGAAAAGTCATGTACTAAACCTCTCCTCTCCCCTGCGTACTCCTCTCCTTCCCAAGCTGTCTTTTTCCAGAGGATGTCATCCACTTTGGGAAAAGTTCACAGACTCCTCAATGTGTGATTTGCTATCATTTTATCTGCTGTTTCAAGTCATGAACCTTAGGCAGAAAGAGAGAAATGTTTTTAATTGTTTCAAGGGTCTCTAGAGAACTTTCCATGTGGAAAGTGGTATGAACTGTCTGGTTCTCTTTCCTTAAGCTGCCAATTAGGACAAGCCTCTGCAAGCAATTACGCTGCACTATGCGGATTTTAGGAAAGCTCAAATTGAGGTGCCTCAAAAGGCTATTTCATTCTTGCAGAGAATGGAGAAATTGATTCAGCCTCGTGTACACTGATGATCCTTCCATTTGCCTAAAGCCATCGTGTGGTGCCTGCATTTCCACATTGGGGGTCAACTGCTGATACGAGCTCAGTGAAGTATAAAAGTGAAGAGATGAAAAATCATAAAAAAGAAAAAGGACAAAGGGTTTGTTGCCTATCAGTAAGTAAATGAGGCACTCTGCTAATATGCTTAATCATCCTGTTACTGCACAAATCAATGGCAGTGTTAACGATCAAATAGCTGTTCAGTTTGTAAAGCAAAAGCGTTCCTGTGGGAACAGCAAACACTTCAGCGGGAACAAGCAGCTAGAAAAATAAAATAAAATCATTTTTGTTGCATCAGACTGATGCTAAATTATCAGAGACAGGCACAGGAGCCCGAGTCTGTGCATGAATACACTTCACCAATAATAGAATTTGGGGGGCATAACTACTACACATCACTTTGAAAGTACACAGTAGAGCTCTATGTCCGCTTTCATTAGTAGCTCCCTTTTTATTTTCATCACAGTAATTAGGTAGAAAAATAGAGTAAACCTGCAAATTATTTTTTTGTTTGTCAGATACCATCTGCACAAGTGAATGCCTCTAGGGATTTAAGATTATATTAGGCTGAAACTCAAGAAAAGAGTAATTACTCTAGATAAAACTAATTTATATTTTTCAGAAAAATTAAAACCACTTATTCACTTAACTCCTTTTGGTGTTTCATATGGTTTTCTTTATTTTCCTATGAAGCAGCAACACAGGAGATCAAACTGAACAATGAAGAAATTTCCATCACAAAATGAGAAAGAAGAAAACTACCAAAATAAATTCCCCCCACAAAATGCAAGAAATACAGCAACTGTATACACTTGACATTTTGAACAGATTCACTTTCCTGCCATTGACATCAGTGCTCCCGAAGTATCTGCAGAATATTTCATCCCTTACTTCAGCTTTGACTAGAATTTGGACTGTACTGGTACAGTTCAACACTGTGATCCAATGACTACTGAGTTACTGAATACTAAAGAGAACTACTCAGACGTAAACTACAACATGAAAGCTAAATCAGGGGAGCAGGCATGACATAGCAAACTAAATTACTCAGCAAACTAGAGCACCAGGAAGATTAGAGAGACTTGAGGTCTGCTAGGAAAGGCTTAGAAAGAGTCCATGCTAACAGTAGTAAAATAGCAGACCATGAAAGAGAACTGCATGTTGAATAATCAAAAATCAATGAATAATTAAAGATGAATGTTCCTCTCTGTCTGATCAGACTCAATGTAATATACTTATCAAAAAAAAAATTTTTTTAAATTTAAAAATTACAGATGTACTTTAACCAATTAACTCTATTGGGATCCCTAAGAAGTCACATGAACCTGACAGAGAGCAAAGCTCTGAAATCTTGGTTAACTTTCTGCAGTTTCTGAAGAGAGCAGAAAGAGACTTCCCAAGGACTTTCTGCCCCCTGATTGCAGTGTTCTGTTCTCAGAAATTATCCTATCTGGTATACTACCAGCAAGTCCTCTATATCTTTGTGCTGGGACGAGAGGAAAGTATTAACTGGTTGCTCTTCTCTTGCTCCACAACCTTAGTCAAGCTTAAAGAGAAAAGAAAAAAGATACAGTGGGTAAAGATACAAAGTTAATAAATAAATGAGACAAAAATAAAACAGTGTTAACAGAAGTTATCTTAAACAGGAAGGCAAAACTGATAAGGAACTGCCCTCCCACCTCATTCTTGGTTCTCCAGTACAAGTAGGTATTGTGTTTCCAAAATGATCTGAGAACTTTTACTATCAGTTTTCCAAATATTGTAATCAATATAATTAACAAAGAAAAGATTTGGGACAAAAGTGACACATCTCATGGGAAGAAAACTGCTTATAGTAAGGCATTACCTTGAACAAGAAGCCACTATGAACTACTGTGCTCCCATTCCACATAGAGATGGCCATGCAATTTCCTCCTGATGTCTGTGATATAAGTGTTTGCAGCAGCAGGTCTTGCTTTTTAAATAC